ATACATAAAAACCAAGTTCAAAAATCTTTTGAAAACTATAAAACTGTCAGTTTTGTAAAGATTCTGCAGTAAGGGTAAAAAAAAAAAAAAATAGGTTGAGTTATCAATATTTTACGTATTCTTAAAGCAGAACTTGCTCTTCCAGAGCTGCCAGGAGCCAGAGTCTACAACACGTTCAAAAAAAACTTCAGCTGCAATGAAAACTTACATGTATTTTTAATTAATACCTTTCTCAGAGGGAAAATAAATACATAAAAAAATAAAATTCCACTCTTCAACCTCTCCCAAGAATTTAAGCTTCACACACTTAGCAGCAGCTTCATAGCTTTATAATACATTGTCTTCATACATCTTCAGATCATTCAAAACACTGTAAGAAACATACTTAGAAACAGTGTAAGTACTAACTGACATGCTCGTAACACCTGTAGCTCTGAGGTTTTCACTCTGCCACCCCAGAAGCAAACCATAACCAAAAGCGTTCCTCAACCTAATCTTCAAGAAACCAGACTGTGAAATGAAGCACAGCACTTCTTTTGGTACACTTACTAACACAAATTGCTTTCCATACTGTTTTCCGACCAAAACAACACTCAAATCCATCAGTGTCTGTGCAGCTAGAGTTCTAGAGGTAGAAGTTAGCTGAAGGCACGAAGCCTGCTGAGCATCAGCACCCACAACACAACGAACAAGCCGGCTTCAGCAGAACTCTGCACAGAGGGTTGCTAGAAATTTGAAGAGATCAACCAGCAAGGAGACTAAAGGCAATGATGAAATTAAAATTAAGTGTCAACACGCAAATCCTTAGGAATCAGAAGGTATCTGTATACTTAAAGAATACAAGAAAGCAGAAGGTTATGGAACTATATTTTCTTTCAAGAACAAATTGTGTACATCTTTGACACCATTGAGGTTAATGAAACTTTTTCACCCTATGAAAGAGCATTTCATCTACACACACACAAAACTTTAAAAACATGAGAAACACGAGCATACCAATTCCAGAACAGAAGTTGGGACATGCCTGATAACAGTGTTAAAAGGATGCCCCCGAATTGTATGAGAAGCAGAGTATGGAATTGTCTCTATGACTTTTTTTTTTTTGTAATAGAACACTACAACTCATCACTGAATTCAGAACTATTTGTACCACTCACCCTCAAAAGCCCATCACAAATCTGATGCACAGTTACACTAAAGCAAATCTATAAAGACAAATCAAAGAAAAAACACATAAAACCAAAACAACAGCAAAACCCACAAAAACAACAAAAAAGTTTCAGCACCTTAATGCACATCTACAAGGATTTATTTGAGCCAAAATCCTGAAGTCCTTAAAAGGCACCTTAAAAAGAAGAACTCTTTAGGTACTGAAATCTTCTTACGATATTAAAATCAGATTATAACTCAGGATTTCACAGCTTTGACACTAGCTCTCAACACTCCATGCATTCACCATTTGGAAAGGAAAAATATTAAAAAGCACATCTTAAAGTTTTCTAATACATTGCACTGCAAAAGGCAGTACAAAGTACCAATTTGACCAAAACATTTTGATGTGTGGTGGATGAGCTTCTGGGCTTTTTTAATTCACTTCACCTTTTAGAGCCTCAAAAAACCCACCAGACCATCTGTGACAATTGTTCTGTGCTTTTGTTCGCCCTCTGCTGTCTGAAATGCAGAAAGTAACCGTCATACACACAGCTGTGCAACTCAGGATTCAAGCAGTATCAGATCACTGCAGTTTTGTTTTTAGCTAAAAATCAAGGGGGGGGGGGGAAGAGAAAAATGAATATGAGAGATAGTCGATGGCTCTACGTTAAAGGAAAACCCCAGAACACCTAAACAATGCAGGTTCTCAACTTACCAACCAGCTATTTCCAGAAATTTGCATGTTGATATCCATGCAGAAACAAAAGAGATTACAGAAATATATAAATATTAGGAAAAAATATGTTGGCATTTCTTGCAACAATTATGAAAGCTATCTTGAAAGCAGATTATTAAAGATTAGCAGTTAAAATAGCCAAAGGACTTACAGTGTAAAACTGAATTGGCTTTCTGCTGGCCACAGGAGCAACATCCATGACGACAACATTGCTGCTATTGAACTCCTAGGAGTGCCTTACTGTACTCTGCACACACACAAAGAAGTGTCTGGATCACTTCACATCTCAAGGTCAGGGCTACGACTTATGGCACTCTGAGAACTGTCACAGCTTTCAACTGTTTCCAAAGTTCTGCTGACGTTTTTTTAAAGCACAAGCTGAATGAAAACAATTTCCTTTTTCTGTTCCTCTTCTATGATGAACCAAAACACTAGCCATTTTCCACCTCCAAACCCTTTTGCCATGCCCAGATACACCAAACCTGTCACTGATAAACAGCTGAATGTTATCTCCAATAACAAACAATATTGCTTAATTCTTATTTTGTCACTGAGCACAGCAAGGAATACCTGAAGCTTGCAGACATCCAGTTTTCCACTGAGTATCTACCGGAGACGCAGCTTGTACAATTCTAACAGAATGCTGCCAGCAATCTCCAACAAAGTACACTGAGGCAATGTAATACTTTTAACTCAGGAACAGTTTAGAAGGAAAATTGAGCAGACTAGTTCAAAAGTGCTGAAGCAGGCAGGAAGCTTCAAGTAGAGGAGTCAAAAAAGTTTTCAAGACTCTTGGTGAGGATCGCATGCATTTGCTGGGCTTAGCGCTCAGAGTCCACTGGTTACGCAGCAACTGCTGGTGGTGAGAAAGGTCTGCCTAGACTTAAATGGTGCAGGTGTAAATGCAATCATTTTGTCAGCAGAAAAAAAACAGAGTGGAAACCACACACACTCCCACACTTTAAACAACCTGTAATTTAAAAATACACCAAGAAGCATTCTTTTCATCTTCACTCGCTTTTACCATAAAATTCTCACTTGCTTCAGCATATTTTGATGCACCCATTCACAGCAGCATCCTTATGAATTAAAGTAACTCTGTTATTAAAACTAAATTATTAGAATTGTATAATCCTAATTATTTCTAATTTCATTCATGAAGGACACCAAGAAGATTCACATTAACAATGGCTGCTGCAGTTCTGGGAACAGAGAGAGTAAATCCATACGATGCTTATTTATACTCTTCATTATCCTACAAAACTTACATTCATTTGCATTAAAGACGATCTTTCATTTTCTCATTAGTCCACAGGAGAATGAGACAACAGGAATGAAGCTGAATCCCAATTCACCTACTGCTGTTCCTGCATTGGTTTGGCTGCTTCTTTCAGTTGGTTCAGTTTTTAATTTTTATTTCTTTATGTTAGGTATGATTCGAAGCAGAAGGCATTTAGCTACAACATAACTCCACCATTTCTTCTTGGCACTCACTCAACATAAGGGAGCTGACAGCAAAGAACTCTTATCCAGGAGAGATCAAGAATGGACTCATACTAATCGTTTAGACTCATTTCTTAAACTGTGTCTACCCTTTTATTCATCATTAATCAAGAAAAGTTACTCTATGTAACCAGGCACTCCCCACACAAGCGAATCAGTTCCCTGTCTGCATAGAGGAACTAGGAAAATACCTCTGTCTTCCATATCTGGTTCACACTGCTGGACTGCCATCGCCGTAGCTTTTAATGGTTGAAAATACTGAAGAGAGGATGGAATGAAAGAAACTGCTGACAAAGCACCCGTCATCCCTCCTCCCACACAGATAATCAGTAATTTTGGTAGGCTTCACACTATTTTTTCCAAATGCTAGACTTCAGCAATGAAGGTCTAGTTAGCAGATCCCTGCTGCCAGTGTAATGCTGCAGTACAGGACAGTGAACAGTCGATATCTTTACAAGTCACGAGCCAACACAAGCTGCACAAATGTACTCATGTTAAATTACACACAACAATCAACCTATTTCACAGCATTGCTGGATTCAACTCAATAAAGGCAGAAATGTCCTTGCACTGGACAGCTTCTCTTACATTTTGCAACACCGTCTCCAAAATACTCCAGGAGTCGTATTCAATAAGAAGGTCCCGTTCTGCCATGTGCCACATGCAAAACTCATACGCCAAGGACAAGTTCCTCTCTTTCTTACACTAGATTCTCCCATGTGAAGAACAAACCAGAAACAACTGAGACAGATGTTTACAATCACTGAGAACAGGGTCCTCATTCCTGACTGCTTCAACACCATCCAGTCACCCAGCTGGCTCTTCACACAGCTAAATCTCAACTCTCTTTGTCTAGGACACTGCGCCAAAACATGAAGAAGAAGACGACGGATGGATAAAAAAACCAATAAATAAAAACAAAGGCAGGGTAGCAGGTAGAAATCTTTATTTCCATAGAATTTTTAATGGAACTAACATATGGATAGATATGAAACCTTATTGTACCTGCATCAATTCTTGTGAAAAATGTAAATAAAAATCACAGACTATTTCAACATGCCCATAGGTGATCATAAAAGCTGGGCTAGAACTTCTTAGTCTATACTACACAAAATGCATTGCTCCCACCTTCAGCCATCCATCTGTATATGGCAAACACTACGAAACCCTCAGCAGGACAACATAAAGCTCATACACACAAACTTTCAGAACACAGACAGCATCAGCACTGAAGACATTTCCTCCGCTACCAGCAGATGCATCGTTAATAAAACTTGCATATACAAATGTCCACAAAATGTCTTACCAAGATCAGTTCTGACAGCAAAAGATAACGTCATTATGCAATCTCATAACAAATTACTGCAAAGAAACATTGATTTTTTTTTTCCTCTGTATCATTAATTCAAGAAAATGGACTACAAACAAATATAATTATCTACAGAAGAACTCAAAGTGCAAGACATCTTGCAGCACTTCTGCAAAAGAGCAGTGACTTTGGACTAGATAGGAAAGTAATTTTGAACAGCTGGAAATTATAATTACAGTGTAACAATGCAAAGTCAAAACACTGTTTCCCTGTCCGCCAAAAGCTAAACCACAGACTTACCTTAAGATACAGAAGCAGCTTTTGGCCCCAGAAGATAAGCGACAGAACCCAAACCTCTGTTTGCTGTCAATGTCTGTAAGGACAAATGTAAAGTTCTGTCCAACTTGGCTAACTGCATGGCTGAAAATAAAGAGAATAAAAAGGAAAAACTTAATGCTGAGCTAACTTCAAGTCAAAGGTATCCACCAATCCAAGTACGCAAGTCCCATAGCATTTCCTCTTTTACTAGAAGGTTGTGTTTTTGTTGTTGTTTTTCCCTCCAAGAAATCAAATCAGAAAATATATATCCTCTGAAAACTTAAATATGCAAGTGGCTTTAGTGTGGGATGATACTAAACAATGCATTTATCTTTAAACAAAAAAGGATAAACCATTTTCAAAGCAGTACATACAGCACAAACAAAACCCTTGTTCTGTCATGCAGGCAAAATATTATTCTTCATTTGAAAATCGGTTTACTCTAACAGCAAGACAATGCTTCATAAATAACATGCTGAGCTTATCTGACACTCAGATATTGACTTACTGAAGTCTTATATCTATCTACCAATTCTGTAAGTATGCTGTGTAGACCATTCCTCAGTGACCAGCAACTCTGCCCATGCCGGAGGACTCTCCTTTACTCTAGCAGCTTTGCAATCAGTTAAAGGAAAGAACATACTATGTGCAAAGGAGGAAAAGATAACTGGGATCAAAAGCATACTGCACTAGAGCCAGCTATGACTGTAGGCATGATTTTTTAAGACTTTAAAACAATTTTTCCAAGTCATCTGCCTCATCTGTAGGATCTAAAAGGCTCTTCAAGAGCAGCACAAAATGAGCTAATAACTTCACAGATATTGGCTGCCACTCACACCCCGGTGGGAAGTATCACTCCAGCAAAATCCAGCTGGATTGGAAAACTCAGGTAAGTGCTGAGAATGGTCACATCAAAAAAATTTGCTTTACGTTTAGGCACAATACTTTTTGAATGCTGTTTATGAACAAAATGAAAGACATACCTAAGGTACACCACATCTATCTGAAGTTGATCGAGCACTCGTGTGGTGATGGTAAGTTCCATTCAAACTAAGCCAATTCACCTGCCACTTTACTGAGATGTAGTTATACTGTAGAGATGTAAGCTTACTACTTAACACAAATGCTGATTTTTCAGTGGGAAAGCTGTGACTAATAAAATTATTAGCTGACTTAGATTTTCAATTTGATTTCTCATAATGATATGAAATTAACACTTATTTCAGGTTGTTTTTTCAGTGAGAACAGAAAAATATGAATAAAATTTGCATGTGCATCTTTACAACTCAGTAGCAACAATGACAAACAAACACAGAATAAAATTTCAGGCCAATTAGCTATCATAGTAATGAGCCCTAAAAACAAGCAAATATCTAGAGAAAATAAAGAAAAATAGACTTTCATAAAGAAAAGTTGGACCCATCCAGCACTAAGTGCTCCATATTCACAGGAGGACAAAAAGAAAGACACTTAAGAGCATTTCAGTACCCCGAGAATTAGCGTGAGTACTAATATCCTGCAGAATTGTAACTGTCAACAGAACAGCATTTCCATAAACCATACTGAGCTGGTAGGGTACACCAAAAAATCCCTTACTGGTGCTAAGTTTTATCTGTAAAGCTTGGATGTAATGTTACTATGGTGATTTTACTATGGTGTTTTAGAAGAGGATTACATGCTTAATTTTAACAAGGCCAAGAGCAGAGTGTGTGCAGAAAAGCATTCTAGCTGACAATTAAAATTATGGAACAGGAGAGAAAAAAACATGCTTCACTCGCGGCAGGGAGAAGCTTGTTTATCACCCAATTGCAACAAGTTGGTAAGTTCCTTCCAGCTAACCTAAAGATTTTTGCACTTGGAAAAGAAGGAAGAGATGTGGCAGACAACTCTTTCAGGTGCAACTTAAGACATCTTTTAATCTAAATTTTAGGTATACCCCAAGACCACAAACCCTTCTTAGTTTTCAAAATGGCTGGCTTTTCTGTGTCAGTCTGTGATGCTCAGTCAAAAAGCTGAATCCAGGAGTGAGACATACTTTTCATTAAGTTCTCATGTGCACCCCATATGGGTTTTCAATGTTTCTATCTTTCAAAAATGTTCTATCTCTGGAGGAAAAAAAGAGAGAAAACAATAACAAAACCCCAGGTACAATCATACTTCATGTTACAACCATAAATGTGTCCACAGTATGAAGGGAGCAACTCTAAACATGCACATGAGAAAAATATCTACATCTACTTCCCCAATCCCTCCACTTAAGCAAGGGAAAAAGATCAGTAAAAAGTGATTCCAAATTACCAGGAGAATTTGTGGCTTTCGAAGGTTACTCAAGTCCACAAGCATCAGCTAAGAAGCTCTTGCTGACAGTCTAGGATATTCAAATTCTCTTTTTATGTACAAATGAGGTACAGTAGAGGTGTTGGCAGTGTCAGCTCTTGCCAGCAGTGCCTCACCAGCATCTCTCAACCCTGACCTGCAGGAACTGCCCAGAGGGCTGAGAGAACATTATCACCTTCACGATCTGTTCAAGCTTTCAGCTTCCTCCAACTACAGATTACCACATAGCTGACCTCAGACATGTGATTCTAACCAATGAAATGCTGTTCCTATGCAGCACAAGCAGCAGTGCACTTTCAAAATCTGAACGCTTGCTCTCACCATGAAATCGTCAGACCTAACTCACAGTAAGAACAAAACTAACAATCTAAAAAACTACAAAATTTCTGACAATTCCTAAATCACAAGAAGAAATTTTCTCAGTCAGCTACAGTTCTTCTCCAGTCCATTAGAAACTAGACCACCATTTTTCAAAAAAATTAGAACTGGAATTAAGAAGTCACAAGGAAGGCATCAGCATTCGAGCTAAGATCAAGGCCTCGAAAGGTAAAGCACTTTATGAATTCTTCCCAAATTTTGGCAAATGAGAAGTAAAATCCAGATGTAAAGAAGTTCTGACATGAACATGCATATTTCACAATTACTACCCAAGCGTTTTCACATCCAAATGTTACACAGAAGTAAAACAAAACACATTTTTGTGGCTGCCACTGAACAGCTCAAACTTTTTTTTTTTTATTTTACTCCGTCCATGAAAACTCCAGGACAAACGGATTCTGAGACCAGGATTTGCACTTTGGCACTTTTAATCACAGTCAATCAAAGAGAACACTAAGAACATTATGTTTTTTACTTTTTGCAGTGGTTTTATGAGAAGCTTATTTTCTTGTCAAGTTTGAAAATCTCATCCTACCTGTCCATGTAGAAGGGGAAACAAAACTTGGTCAAAGTCTGTAGAACTTCCTGTGGAGAGAAAAAAAAAAAGAAAAAGAGAGATAATTTATACATCCAATGGGACCAATAAATCTAATATTAACCACATCACACAATTTCACAACTTTGCCCTGAAGAAAGACGAGACAGATGAAGAAATATGGGCTTTATCAATTACATGGAAGGAGTACCAGGCAGTCAATCATGTGAAATAATAAACATGATCAAACTTCATTAAAAATGAAAAATTAATCAAGATTCACACATGGGCAGGCAGCAGGAGCCATCCAGCAATTCTCCAAAGGATAGGAGGAGGTTGGGTTGTTGAGTGTTAACACTTCTCTAGGGACAATCTCTACCCTGACCATATGGATCATAGTGAATAACACCAACCCACATGGGTTTGGCCTGGCAGGACCACTTCTGCTGGCACAGCTTTTGACTGTTACCTAGGAACAGAGGTCTGGGGGATTAGAGAATACTTCCCAACATCAGCAAGATAAATAACAAAAGAAAGCCAATAGGTCTCCTAGCAGGAATGTTTAACACTGCCTGCTGCTATTAGAAAGACAATGTGAGTGTTACAAGACCGATTAAAATAACGTGTATTAAAAGAAATACTGTTTAAACTACAAACCATTTCCTAAATGTTGCAAAACAGCACCACACACACAGAACTTTTACACATACGTATGATCTCAAAAAAAAAAAACCCATGACTGTGAAAATTAGAACATTAAAAACATTTTAATAAATCACCTTCCACTGCACGCCTTTAAATGAATATAGTCATTAAAGAAGCAAAAAAATACATGTACCAAAACAGCTGCATTCACACACAGAAGTAATCTGCTCACACTGTGTCCTTCTATAATATTCCAGTTTGTATTACAAAATCCACCATAAAGGTCAACTCAGATTGCAGACCTACTACCAGCCAGTTCATCGTCCACTCTCCTTCACAGTGAAATACTTCAGGACCTGTAACATCACATATATTTCTGATTTCAGCTACAAGATCATTCTGACTGGATGGCAAACCTGATAAACTCAACACTTTTCTGGCCATAGTAATAAATTATCACCAATAACTAAATTGATGCTTTTCGCTTCATTTACTTCTAAAACCAATGCCACCATTCAACAAATAAACGACATCAATCTAATCACCTATTCAATGAAGCGGAAAGCATATTGACTCTCTTGCAAGAACATGTTCCTCCTACATAATTCAAACAAGCACATCCCATTCTTAGCAATGGTTTCAAGCTCAACTGCTCCAGAACTATTCTTCGGAGGTCTCCTGGCGACTAAAATGGAGCAAGTTCTTTGGATTCCACGCAGAAACAGATATGGAAACTTTGACTTCTTGACAGTTTATTGATAGATTATTTAACAACCTTCTGTTTTTAAAGAACAAGAAAGAATCTATTGAAGGATGGCATGTAAAGCAATGAAAAAACCTCCTTTCAATTTTAACAGAGGAAACCTGTGAAGCATCCATGCAGGTTTCAGAGTAAAGTCTGCAGAAACGCATTTTCATCCAAGAAGCCTTGATAGTAAAGAACTCAATTAACAAGACTGGATTCATCCTTGTGCAGTGCCTCTGACTTCCACAAGGACTGACAGTCTCCTGCACAACTCCAATTGCTCATGCACAAAAACTGCACCTGGACAAATCTAAGTTATTTCACACTTGTCCTTTACCCATTGCTGAAAGCTCAAACCACAAAAAAGAAAATCAGAATTGTAAACCAGCTGAAATCATAATTGCAGCAGAGTGACTATGTATTTATTGACTTCATTGTGCATAGCAGCTACATACAATTCTGAAACGAAATTGTTAAAAGATAACAAATCATCAATAACATAAAAGTAGAATGTACTCTCCATTATTTTGATAAAGCTTTGAATGTTTACTGTAACTGCCAGCATAAACACTTATTTGATAAAACATGTCTGCATCTCACCAGCATTGTGTTACTGGAGGATAATGGACTGTATTACTCAAAACTCTCTTTCCACTTCTCTTAATTTTTATGGCTTCCTAAAAACAAAAAGTGTGTTTAAAGAGAAAAAACACTGAATTTATTTCACTATACACTGCCCTGCCTTTCAAAAAAAGACTCTGAAATGATATTATAACATAGTTTTTGCATTATTGGACAAAACCTGCCACTCATTATATACCAATACCTATCTGTGTTGTCTTACAACTGAAAGATTGAGACTAGTACAGGTTAATCACAGACTTAGTTCTAAATTTTAACTACAACAGAGAATTAGGCTCTAATTAGCAAAAATGCTGATCTTTTGCATGTAAGACATACAATTACTAGAGACCAACCCTATTTTTGCTCAAGTAGCAAGCCTGTGAATACAAATATACTTTTTTTTCCCCCAATTAAGTAGTGCTCAGTTTTAAAGCTTGGCAATCCCTATGTAAAACCCAACTTCAGGTGATTGGTTACAGCCTCGAAAAAAACATTCGCTCTTTAGGACTCCAAACAAAAAAACCCACCATAAAACAAAAGCTACAACTCCTCCATGCCAGCATCTTATAATCCATTCCATGTTTTTACCTGACATGAAACACAAGGGTAGCATCCATAGACTTTTTTCTTATTTTATTCCCTTATGCCTATTTTTTTTTAAGAAAAACCTACAAAATGCCTCTAAAACAAAACATCTGAAAAGCAAACCAAACAATACAATCCAGGACACACAGCTGATAAGCGCAAATTACCCAGTAGCTGAAACCCACGTCTCTAGGGTATCACATGCCAGTTTTCTGGATCAATCCCCAAGTTTATATTTTCACAAATCTTCTTACATGCAGTTTGATTTTTAACATTTTAATGAGCAAAAAGTGCATCTATAGCAGGCAGCCAACACAGTTAAAGTGCAGGGCATGAACTGCGTCCCCTGAGGGATTCAGCCCAGCCGTGTCACCAGTGGCTTTAGGACATACACCACCTGGTTCCGTGTCCCAAGGTTCCAACTCTTTTCATAATCAAAACACTGCTGACATTATAAACCCCACATGGGTTTTCTAAAATCCTTCCCAATCAATAAAGCCAGTACATAACTTATCGGAGACAACACAGAGCTCATTGATTAAGTTTGGTTTCAGTAGCAAAGTTTTCAAAATAAATGAGCCAGGAAGAGAGTGTTCAGCCCTTTTGTGTCACACAGCAATTTATGGAGGTAAGGCAGTCTCTGAAACGATTTCTTTCTCCCTTCACACTCCACACAAGATACACTTCTAAAGCACATGGAAAAGAAAGCTGCTAAATACATTGGCATGGAGAGAAGACATGACTCAGTGATGAAAGAGATGAATACTGGATTATATACTTGATTTCCACTCAGAGGAAGTATAAGTGAGGTTTGCCATAAGCAAAATGCTGGACAGAGAGGGTGGAAAATGCAAGCAGTCTTTGTCTTCTGCAGCCAGAAATACCACCAGAATCCATGAAACCAGCATGAAATGCATCCTGTTTGCACCGAGGGCCACCCAAAAAGCTGCAGGAAGACCTCAACAGGCAGAGGAGGAAAAAAAGGAGCTCTGAGAGCAGGGAGGGGCACAAAGGGGCTGCAGAAGCACTGAGCTGGGCTATGGAGCTCTGCCTGGGCCTGAGCTGCAGATGCTTTTGTGGGGGCTATTTTAGCTGAGAGCTACAGAACAAAGCAACTTACTGCAAGCTACCATGAAGTGAAATGAGGGACTAAAAGAAATTCACCACTGAAAGGTTTTGTGTATTTATTATTTCTGCTCAGAAACAAAATCAAATTTGAACATGTTGATCTTTGATTAATGTTAATATTTGAAAATGTAAATACAACATAGGAGTGCTAAGAATTTAAGTAAAACATTATTCAACTACTTTTAAATTTGAATAGTACTTTAATCTACCTTATTACCACAAAATTGTAAACTGCTTTCAAATTTAAATCATCTATTTGCATAATTTTAAGCTAAGAATTATTTAGATCACCCACTGCAATGGAACAACAGGATTAAGAACTCCAAACAGATGTCAGCGCACCCAAATAACCAACTTAAAACAGGCAACAACTCCATGCACAGAACACTGAAAGGAAATGTACAAAACCTACAGCAACGTAAACCCTGTTTGCTGTGCAGTTGGTCAGAATTTCACGTATGTGTTCCTAGGAAAGGAAACATCTTTATGCACGTCAAAAAGGAGCACCTCAGTAACAAGTGCTGCTGCTACCTTAAACAGCACTCTACAAAGCAGCTACTTTACAATGACCAGGAAAACGCAGTCTTGCATCAGCGTTTTACTGAAATAATACAGATCTAAGAAAGTAATACTAGAACAACAAAAAAAAAATCCATCCACTAACAAAGACAACAGCAACAATCAGGGATCAGTAAATCTCATCTTCCGAAGGTTTAGACGTTCATTTGCATTTGTTAGTAATGCCGGCTTATATCAAATTGTCCTAAAGTTACTATTATTAAAGATTATTCTCATCAATTATGTAATTGTGCCATGTAATCATGTACTTAACATTCAGAAGCATTCCAACAGCTTTATAAAATGAATTCTCAAATTAAAGTAAGGTATCCTGCATGGAAAGGCTGCGTCACAACAAAGAGCTCCAATTTTTGCATGATATCAGATCACAGAAAGCAAAGAACAGTAAACATAAAAGCACCATTTTCCTCCATTTTAAAGAATCCATTTTTTTCCAGAACTGACAGCACACATTCTTAAAAGAAGAAAACCTTGGCTTGCAAAACACATCAAACTTCATCTTGCATTGGTTTTAATGGTATCATTCTACATCTCACAGTAGTGATGAACATTAATAGCTTTGATAATCACCAAAATATATTGGGAATCAATTTTAATCACTTCTTTAGAAAGCTCTTCCACTCTAAAAGAAACAGGTGCATCATTTACAATTATACTGTCCCAACTTCGTTTTCTCTCTACTTTTTTAGCGCTCTTTGTATGTCAGCACAAATGTCCAGGACCAGTCCACCCATTTGCTTAGGG